GCAATCAGCACAGCCCATGAAGGGGCAAGATTGCACAAGGCTATGGCCAAAGTTGCACCAGAAAGTAACCTAGCCCTGAGGAAATGTGACAACGCTTACACTTCCGACGACAGGGATAAACTAGCTTTACTCTTTAAAACACACTTCCCCGGGAGCTCACCCCTGGCGGAAGATACGTTCAACCCAATGGAGGCATCGTCCACTCCAAGACACTTCAGACCAAGCGCTGAGGACTGGGCAATTGCCAAGTCTCTAGTCTCTCCGGAGAGACTTAAATGGGCAATTGGGACCTTCCAGCCATTTAAGTCACCTGGTCTGGATGGTATCTCTCCATCATTCCTGCAGCAGGGACTGGATTTACTCCTAACCCGCTTAAGGAGACTGATGCTAAGCAGCCTAGCAATTGGTCACATCCCAAATGCGTGGCGTAGAGCTAGGGTGGTCTTCATCCCCAAAGCAGGGAAGAAAGACATCACCAACCCAAAGTCCTTCAGACCTATCAGCTTAACCTCGTTTTGACTTAAAAGCTGGTAGACTACCATATTAGGAGCACAGTTCTTAAGGACTGTCCGCTGCAACCCACGCAGCACGCATACAGGGCAGGTCGTTTAACAGACACTGCACTGTACCAACTTTGTCACACCCTTGAAGGGGTAGTAGACAACAAAGAAGTTGCAATCTGCGCCTTTTTGGATATAGAGGGAGCCTTTGACAATGCGTCGCATGATGCTGTCTCAGCGGCCCTCGCCAGAAGGAATATAGACGCGACAACAAGAAGGTGGATTGGAGCCTTGTTAAGCTCCAGGCAGGCAATGGCGACCATTGGCAACAGCACAATGACCGTTGCCACAAGCAGAGGATGTCCGCAAGGTGGAGTCTTGTCTCCTTTACTGTGGAGCCTACTAGTAGATGAACTACTAAAGAAACTCGCCGACAGAGGAATACAATGTCAGGGCTATGCCGATGACATAGTAATAGTAGCCAAAGGGAAATTTGAAGAAACGCTTTGCGATATTGTCCAACTCGGACTCAAGATAACGCTCGACTGGTGCAGGGAAGTTGGGCTTAACCTCAACCCCGCAAAAACAGTCATTGTTCCTTTTACAAAGAAGTACAAACTGAAGAAGATGAGACAAATCATACTACTAGGTACTCCCGTAGCAATAAGCCGGGAAGTTAAGTACCTCGGAGTTACCTTCGACAGAAGGCTAACGTTTGCAACCCATATGCAAAAGACAGTGGATAAGTGCCTCAGGGCTCTCTTCACCTGTCGGAAAATTGCAGGGAAATCTTGGGGGACCTCACCCCAAATTATCAGATGGTTATACCTTATAATTGTGAGGCCAATACTCACATATGGGTCAGTAGCCTGGGGTAAACGAGCAAGGCTCGTTACCGCACAGAAACAGCTCCAAAGGCTGCAAAGACTGGCATGCATATGTATGACAGGAGCAATGAGAACCTGCCCCACTGCGGCACTGGAAGTTCTCATGGAACTCACTCCGCTACACTGCGTAGTAGAGTTACAGCGGAAGGCCACCCTACTAAGAATCACTTCTTGTGGGAATGGCAGTGACCGCATCCTTAGTTCTAGGGATGCAGCAAAACTACTAGTCGAACTTCCCCTGAGCTCACACCCCAGGGACGAAATGACAGTAGAATTCATCTTTGAAAAGAATTTCTCTGCTCATCTGAGCAACAAGAAAGAATGGACCACCATGAAGGAAGTACACTCCATGGCGAGTCACACTATAGCATGGTATACGGACGGGTCTTTAACACACCAAGGCACTGGCCTTGGAGTAGTAGGACCACGAATCAAATACCATGAATCGTTAGGCCAATACACCAGCATATTCCAAGCTGAAGTTTGCGCCATAGGACGGTGTGCAGAGCTCAATATGAAGCGTGGGTACACAAACAAGGACATTGCGATCCTCTCGGACAGTCGAGCGGCAATTACTGCACTATGCAGTAATAGAATCACCTCGAAGCTGGTTCGAGAAGTAAGGACAAAGCTGAACCTTCTGGGCAGCAACAACAGGCTGTCATTAAGATGGATTCCAGGACACAAAGACATATCCGGGAATGAACTAGCCGACAGGATAGCAAAACTAGGGGCGGAAAGACCCCTTATAGGACCCGAGCCTTACTGTGGCATAGGCAGACACACAGTCAAAGATTACCTAAGAACAGAAGAGGTACATATGAGGCAAGACTGCTGGGTAGACACCACAGGCCAAAGACAAGCCAAAACCCTCATCGTCAATTATGACATGAAGAGGTTTAAGAAACTTATACTACTAGGGAAGAGATCACTTAGGATAGTTACCGGCTTACTAACCGGACACTGCAAACTAAGGAGACACCTATTTAATATAGGGATTGCAAACAGAAAAACATGCAGATTCTGTGATAACGAGGACGAAACCTCAATACACATAATATCAGATTGCCCAGCACTAAGTAGCCTGAGGAGCAGAACCCTCGGGTCCAGGTTCCTTACACTTGGGACCTCTGGAAGCATCGACCCGATAAAGCTCCTCAACCTTATCGAAGGAGCCGGGTTGATGGGTGAGCTCTAAGCTCAGATAGGGGGTACAATAGATCCAGTTGGGTCGAGGTAACCTTTCCCCCCCTAATAATAAATAAATTTGGCATTCCTCATTTGTGCTGCTGGAACATCTCGAGAGTGCAAAAACTGCATTTAGCACACTCTTTGTCTCACACTAAATTCTTTTAATAAGTGCTCAAAGTGATCCCAGTATAAACTCCAGTGCCTTTCCTTTGATGACAATTAAAGGCTGTGAAAAGACAAGTGTTTGTTAGAGCATACATGTGTTGGATCAAAGATGTGCAAAATAATTGTTGTTAATTTGTAGAATCGGGACCTTTAGCTACTGAGCTGCTATCTTAAGGCAGAAGGCATAGTTTTGAAAGCGATCGCTTATATATTCCTGACGAGGTTTTAACGGAAGCCACACGTACGAGGTTGTCTGATCCAGGATGCAGTTCTATAATTCGTCCAAGTTTCCATTCTGCCGGGGGGAATCGATCATCCTTTATGATGACTATATCATTTACCTTTAGATTGGGTTTTACTTGCCACCATTTTGGGCGAGCTTGTAAATGTGACAACCAGTCTGCGATCCAACGCTTCCAAAACTGCCTTACCAGTCGTTGGCCTTCAAAAAACTGCACCTCCAAAGATTTATCCGCTGTGGTGGGATTTGGTAGAGACATCATGGAATCACCGATCAAAAAGTGAGCCGGAGTCAAAGCCGAGTGATCCTCCATATTTGACGTCAACGGGCACAAGGGTCGAGAGTTTAAACATGCCTCTATTTGCACAAGAACTGTGTTCAACTTCTCGTAGGTTATATTAACACCCTGGAAAGTACGGAATAGATGCCTCTTGACTGCTTTCACGTTCGCTTCCCACAAGCCTCCGAAATTAGGGCTGTGTGGAGGATTGAAATGCCACTGAATGTTGCGAGATGTTAATTCAGGCAGCACAGTCTTTGTCATTTCTTTAACAAAGTCCTTCTTCCACAATTGAAGCGATTTGTCCGCACCCATAAAATTTGTGCCGCAGTCGCTGTACATATGCCTGCAAAATCCGCGGCGTCCAATAAAACGCTGAAAAGCCCATAGGAAATGCTGGGTAGACAATCCTGTGACGGCCTCCAAATGGATTGCTTTGGTTGCTAAACAAACGAAAACAGCGATATATACATTGTTGGTATGATGTCCACGAAACCGAGATGCCTTAATTTCCAGAGCGCCAGTGTAGTCCACGCCAGTAGCTTTAAATGCTCGTTTTGGGGGGTTTACCCGATGAAATGGCAAATCTGCCATTAACTGCGATGCTGGTTTTGGACGATGTTTGAAACAGGGAACACATTTACGTAGGACTCGTTTCACTGCTTGTTTTCCGTTTACAATCCAGAAAATCTGTTGAATAGTCGCTATCGTGAGATCCATTCCTCCATGTAGTGTATTATGATGAGCATTTCGGATCACAAGCTCAGTGAAGTGATGTGACTTGGGTAGAATGATCGGAGTGCGTTGGTTAGCAGAGATGTGGAAAGATTTCTTTAATCTCCCTCGCACCCGCAAGATACTCTGCTGATCTACAAAAGGACATAACTGATGAAGTTTATTAGAGCCAGATAAGGATTTATTTGATTGTAATCCAGAAATCTCAGATGGAAACGCTTCCCGCTGCACCAGTCGAACGACTTGAAGCATGGCATCTTGAAACTCCTGTGTCTTTATTGGGCCTGTTTGACGCAATGCCAATGCAGATTTAGAATTGTGTACAAGGCGTAGCATATAGGCCACAACAAAGATGAGTCTGTTATAGGAAGAAAATGAGGTGATGATTGATTCATCAATCGAAGTGGTACAAGTGAGTGTTGATTTTTTAAGATCTCACTTCTCAGCTCTGGCAACGTTATCCTCCGGTGGATCCAAGCGATTAGTTGGCCATTCCGTATCCGGTAGCTGTAGCCATGGTGGGCCACACCACCACAAATCGTGATTTGCCAGCTGCGTTGGGGTAAGACCACAGGTGGCGCAATCTGCGGGGTTCGTATCAGTGGGCACGTGTCGCCACTGCGACGGTACGCTTGATTCCAAAATTTGTCCCACTCGGTTGGCAGCAAAAGTCTTCAAGCGCATTGGATCTCCATTAATCCAGTACAGTATGATCATTGCATCGGACCAAAAATGAAGCGATATTGCTTGGTCTTGTAAATGTAGCTGTTGGCAGCACCACTTTGCCAGCTGGGTGGCTAACAGGGCACCAGAAAGCTCCACTCTCGGAATTGTCATTGGCTTCGTGGGGGGTGTAACGCGACTACGTGCAGTAAGTAAATGGGTATATACAGTATCATCCATCCATTGAACTCTGAGATACGCACACGCAGCATATGCAATGGTCGATCCGTCACTAAATACATGGAGTTGAAGAGATTTTAGACTGCTACGTTGAACATTTAACCACCGAGGTACTTGGATTGCCTCGACATCTGGTAATCTCGTGATATAATCGTTCCAGCGTTCTCGTAAATCTAGAGGAAGTGTTTCGTCCCACTCTAATGGCGAGGAAACTCCAGCAGTACGTTCAATACGAACACTCCAGACGTCCTTCAAAATTGCTTTGGCAGTTGTGATAACTGGCACAATAAATCCTAATGGATCGTACAACCGGGCCACTGTGGAAAGTAATGCTCGTTTAGTAAATTCTTGACTAATTTTGAATTTTATATGAAAGCCATAAACATCTCTTTTAGGATGCCAATACAAACCAAGTGTTTTTATTGAATCATGATTGTCGACTTCTAAAATGGTTGAATTCGACATATGTTCTTGCGCAATGTTAACCAGCAAGTCAGGATGATTAGATGCCCATTTCCTGAGACACATGCCAGCGGATTGAAGTGCAGCAATTAGATCCTCTCGAATTTTGATGGCTCCATCCACGGTGTCATGACCACTTTGAACGTCGTCAACATATATTTCCTTTTGCAGTACATGTTGTGCCAATGGATATCTCACACTTTCATCCTGAGCTAGTTGATGCATAATCCTGATGGCCGTATATGGAGCCGACGCAGTTCCAAAGGTCACTGTAGTTAAACAATATTCCTGAATTTGATCCTGTTCGTTTCGCCAAAAAAACGCGACCACGCGTAATTTGGTGGTGGTACTCTCCTCCTTTAGTACAGCGTGATGAGGCAGAGTGCATGCCGCAAAACCGACCTGCCCCAATGGCGTTTGAGTCCGATGTTGCTCCTCAGTGCTTGCAGCTTCGATGATCTGGTTGAGATCAAAATACTCTTGGATGACGGCTGAATATTGCTGATGTAATGCTGGTTGTTTTTGAAACTTGCGCTCCAACATATGGAAGCGATCAAGGGCTATTTGCCGAGATTTCCCAAGAACTTGCGAGGAATCGAACTGCGTCTTGAATTGGAGCCGAACCATATATTTCCCATTGGATTGACGTGTATGCGTGCGTTTGAAATGATCCTCGCACCATTGTTCTTCTGCTGTCAACTGTCGAGTTTCGGGAATTTTCTCTAGTTCAAAAAACTTATTGACCAAAGACTCCAAATTTGTCTGATGGCATCGAATGGATATGGCATGGGAAAGTATTTGGTTTGTCTTACCAAATACAATCCAACCCAGTTGCGTGCGCTGAGTTATTGGTTGATCCTGAGCTCCCTTCCGAACTTCAGACAGCATGAGCTGAGGTATGACATCCACGCCAATCAGCAAGTCGATTCGACCGGATCGCGTAAAAGTAGGACCTGCCAATTCGAGTCCTTGGATATGCGACCAGTTTTGCAGGTGGATATTCATCTTTGGCAGAGGCGATGTTAAAGAGCGAAGCACAAACGCCGTATCCACTGACATTTGGAACTGAGGGTGTATACATGAGCTTAATGTAAACCCCGTGCGATGCTTCCACTTATTTGTTGAGTTTTCGCCAACTCCCGTGATTTCAGCAGAAACAGAGAATCGCTTTAGTCCAAGGGCTTGGACGACATTTTCCGTAACAAGAGTTCCCTCGGAGCCGTGATCAATTAAAGCGCGTACTATCATAGACTGAACAGTGATGTTGTTGTGTAGTCGAACCAGTGCCGTCGCTAGAATCACTGTGGGTGACTTATACGAGGCCATTGCACTCACGAGCTGAGTTGTGTTGGCTTGAATTGAGCTTGCCGATGAGGATGAATCCCTCGTTGACTGATGCTGTGGAACATTAGATCTAGCATTATTAGGCTGACTAGGAAAATGTAAAAGAGTGTGGTGCCGTTGACCACACTGAGAACAATTCTTTGTACTACTGCACTGAGACCAATTATGTGAAGGGCTTAAACAATTCAGACAAACCTTGGTGTTTTCCGCTATCAGTTTTCGAGCAAAACAATCTTTAGACAAGAACTCTGGACAAGGCCTTAAAATGTGGTTGCCACTACAATGAGTGCAACGCATTGCGGAATTGGTACCGCTCGTGGTATGGTAGCTGCCGCGTTTATGTATGTTATTGTTGTTAGAGTTGTTCGGAAGCTTGTATGACGGTTTATGCGATGCATTTTGGACCGATGTGGGTTTTGCTGATGGGTTCCCTTTGCGACTTTCTATCATTTCGATGCTGACAAGGCGATTGTTTAGAAAATTTTCGAACATCGAAAAGGTTGGAATTTCTCCTGAGCTGCCCAGGTGATGCTCCCAGGCTTGGAGAGTAGTTGATGGGAGTTTCATCGCGAGATGATGCACTATCCAATGGTCACAAGTTGAGATTGCGATTTTGAGACGCTTGAATTCGTTTATACACACATTGGTGACGTTGAGTAGGTGCTTGAATTCCGTTGAACATTCCTTGACGATGACAGGCAAGTCATATAGGGCATTCATATGGTGCATAAATAACAACCTTGGGTTATTATACCTCCTAACCATGAGATTCCAGGCCACTGAATAGTTTGCTTCCGTCAAATCCATTTGCTGGACATCCTGATCGCAATCACCTGGCAAAGCTTGCTTAAGAAAATGGAATTTTTGAATGCTAGAAAGTGCCGTATTCTCATTTATAAGCTGTGAAAATACATCAAAAAATGCTGGCCAATCTGTATGTTTGCCAGAAAAAGTGGGAACCGGTAACTTAGGGAGCTGAACTGAGGACACTGCTGTAGAGACCACCGTAGAATTATGGCTCGGAGCTCCAACTGTTGTATCAGTATTTGTTGTTGTCAGCAGGGCATCGTAGGCATCCAAAATAGCACAAAAAACCGTGGTATAACTTTACTCAAACTTATCTTCAATTGCATTTTTAAAATACGCATGCGTACGCGGACATTTGGAAATAACAATCAATTGGTGATTTTTATTAAATTGTCTAGAAAGTTCTTCTAATTTATCGCGACGGAGTTGAAAATAAGCTTTGGTTTTTCGAGCTGCACTATCTTTTTTAAAATTCGTATGCAGCTGTGTTAATCGTGTAAGAATATCAAATTGAAGAGCACTGAGATCTTCATAACCCGCTCTCTCCAATGAGACTTCTAGTTCACTTTCGTTTTTCTCCATTTGACTCAGAGATAATTGCACTCAATCTATGACCAACATACAAGCATGCAAATAACAAAACACTCACCCTTTCTGTGCAAGAACACCTTGTGTTTCGCAGTCGTTAGCGTTTAACGTTTGTTGTTGTTGTCGTCCGCCAGGCAGAGTAGAGCGACAAAGGCGAAAGCAAGGCGGTGATTTGCTTGTCACTGCAGCTGCGCTTCCAGCGGTCCAGCGAAGTGACGTGGGTGTATGTGGTCGTTGCACTCGGCCGATCATCCAACGAGGCAAATGTTGAAAGAGAGACGCCGATATTTAGCGAATCACTGCAGCTGCGCTTCTAGCGGTCCAGCGACGTGACGTATATATGTACGGGTATGTGGCCGTTGCACTTGGCCGATCATACGAAAGCACAAAGTATAGAAAGAGACGCCGGTAACTTAAGAACGGCGTCTATGTACCAATTAGGTTTGGTATTTGGCTGACTCTTTTTGGGTGCGTGCTGGCACTGAACTTTTAGATTTTTATGAACACACAAAGAACCACTTTTGCCAATTTATGGGCAGATAACTGTTGAAAATTAATTTCAAATGTAATCACGAAGTTATGATCAAATGGTTCCCCTCATAGGCCACCAAAAATGTTGCGACAAATGCTAAATTGTCAATGCTGAGCGTCTACCGCTCTGGGGACTTTCATTCGACAAGAGAAAAAATAGGTACAACCGAAGTAACTTCAAGATTAAGTTTATTTAACAAATTTCACTAGATATCAAAAATAACTAATTTAATTACAAAGGTTAAGTTATATCAAAATTTTAGGGTTCTTCAAGGTATAAAAATCAAAGACACAGGCCGACCAGCACCGAACACCGCTTGCCAAAGAGTGGTTTGTCGGATTTTGGCATTCGTCTTTTGTGCTGCTGGGACGTCTCTGGAGCGTAGAAAACTGCATTAAGCACACTCTTTGTCTCCTACGAAAAACTCTTAATAGATGCTCGAACACAACGCATATCACGTTTTTTTTTTTAGATGTTCCGTTAACGCCCTATGATGTTCACCGCAAAACAACTTTTTTTTGGGCGCTTCGGAAGATTAACCGCCACAGGCTTATTTCAAAATATTTTTTAATAATTTTTTTTTTCTAATACTCTTCAAAAGTTGAACAATTAAATGTAATTAAGCTCAAAAAAATAAACTTACTCATTTCGCCGCAAAAAAAAATCAAACATGGCCCTTTTTAGGCCTTTAAAACCTAGTTAGTCCACTTGGTATTGCCTTTAAACAATTAAATACAGTATAATTCGCTTAACTGCCTCGATGCTTAGCTGCATCGTCAAGATAACTGCCTTATTTCTATTTTTTTCTGCATTTATGGTCTCATTTGTATGAAATTAATTACGTTTGCTGCATTCAAGTTAGCTGCCTTTCGCACTTAAGTGCCTCGTTTCGGCAGAATTTAACTGTCTTATTCTATGAATATCATCCAACTTAACTGCGCCATCTAGGATTCGAATTTGGAAACAATAAATTTATGAGTTTTAATCATGTATCTTTTTTTTGTGCATATGGCAACGCTTGCATCTCTTTGCGCATGTCCGTTTTTCGTTTGTTTTGATCGTGCCATTTGTGTGCATAAATCATTCCTAATCGTAAAAATGGGTAAAGTGAAGCGCTTGGTTGGCTTAACTTTAAAAGAAAAGCTCCAAATTATTACGGCTGTAGGCGAAAAAGTTGATAAAAGTGTTCTCTGCACGAAATACAAGTGTGACAGATCAACAATAAACCGTATAATTAAAAATCATTTAAATGGATCAAATTCATTCTATTTTAGACAGTTTATAAAAATTACGTTAGCTGCCTTTTTAAGATAGCTGCCTCCAAAATCACTGCAATCGACTCGATGCAGTTAAGCGAATTATACTGTAATTCCATTTTTCATTACATCAGCTAACTTTTTGAATAAATTGGCGTCCAATGAATAGTAATCTTAATTTATAGCTCGTTTTAGCTGTCCGCCTTTAATTTTTATACCCTTGTTTATAATTTTGCGGATCATGATCCCCCATATGTTTTCTATGGGATTAAGATCAGTGGAACATGGTGTCCAGTTCAGTTCCTTGACAGAACACGCCTCCCAGAAGCGCCTGATCTAGCGACTCACGTGTATTGGAGCATTATCTTGTTGAAATAAAAGCTGTTGTTCCCTTTTTTGCTCCAAATAGGGTAGCAATCGCTTCTCCAACACTTCGATGTACAGTCGAATCCCGATAATTCGTACCCCGCTAAATCGAAAATCGCGATAAATCGTAAAAAATTCTGTCCCCTTGAAAAAAAACTCGTTTATTCGTATTTGGCGCAACGCAAAGAATACTGAACCTCTTATAAATCGTAATTTTGTTTCATAACCTCTTATAAATCGTAATGTGATGCGAAATTTTTTGTAGTTAAAGCACCGTTAGATTTTGCACACACAGCTATGCCGCCTTTATGTTGCTATGCATTATGAATTTTGTGTTTCTCTCTCTGTTATAATTTTATGTTATTGTTTAATTTTCCTTTTATTTGAAAAACGTACAAATGAATGTACATACATACTTATAATGTTTGTTTAATTTTAATAAATTTAAATACATATCGACGCATTTCCGCGAAAGTATCGTATGCCGCTTTTTTTCGAAATTGAGATTTTAATGCAAAATTGTTAGGCACCTAATGTCTCACTACCCTGTGAAATATTATAACTGAATGCCCTATAGTTTCGATAAAAATTAAGTTTCAATTTTATCGTATGCAATGTGCGCGCGAAATTATCGTATGTCCATACAAATTGTTTTTTATTTGCATGGAAATACTGCAATCGCACAAAAATACCGAAATACAAAAATAAAGAAAAAGCTTCTCCTGTAAAATTTGATTTTTCAACATACGATACATTTGCGGAATTGCGTCGATATGTTAACATGATGTGAAATGTAAAAACCCCGTTTATACGACTCTTTCATTTTTGAGCCCCGTTAAATAGAAACCTCGATAAATCGAATTCCCGTCTAATTTAAAAAAAAAAAAAATGATCCCCTTGCCGTTTCGAATTATCGGGACTCGACTGTATCTATACTAATATTATAAAGAGGTAAAATTTGTTTGTTTGTTTGCAGCGAATAGGCTCCGGAACTACTGGTCCGATTTAAAAATTCTTTCACCGATAGAAAGCTACATTATCGTGGAGTTTTGGAGAATTTTTATTCAATTTAAGTTGAACTGTGAAAATTATGTGGATCGTGCATTTGAGGATAAATTCACCACTCTGTCCATAGTCCAAAATGCTTAGAGGACGACGTGCAAACATTGGCCGCAGACATCCAAGCCAGCAACAAGTATATTCACAAAACTTAAGCGAAGAAAGATAAATGAGCTCAAGGAGATCATTGGCATCATTCAATCGCTTGGCATTCCAATATGACCCCACTGCGAACTACAGAGATAATGAAAATGTAGATATTGGACCAATGGCGACAATATACCGATATTGCAGAGCGTTAAAGTTTAAAAGAGAAACGGCTGGATTGTGCTGCGCAAGTGGAAAAGTCAAACTGGAAAAGTGTTAAATCACCATCTTTCTATACTTCCATATATTTGAAAAATGTTGCAACATTGACTATTATGTTGTTAAATTGTGTTGACCAGCGAAGCGGACACAGGACCTCTAGTTAAATTATAAAAATAAGTTTTTTTGACATTTTCACAGAACGATGTTACTCTCCGAAAAAAATCAGCAAACTAAACGAAAACAGCGAGAGAAACACAAAACTCAAAATTGCGACATGAAGGCGGCATAGCTGTCTGCAAAATCCAACGGTGCTTTAACTACAAAAATTTTCGCATCGCATTACGATTTATAAGAGGTTACGAAACAAAGAAGACTCTAATTCTACTAGCCCCGAAATAGAAGATAAAGACCTAAACAACCTCACCATCCCTGCCGTTCTTATTCAATCTGAATTATCAGATTAAGAACAAACTGATTCTGACACCAAAGACAAGTGTAATTGAGCAAAAGCCTTACATCATCGTGGACGAAGCAGCAGCCCAGAGGGCATATATAAAATACATCTCACATGCGGTAATTTTCGAACATTACCTGAATCTTCATATCGACTTCCGCGTCGACTCCTGCGGTGGCACGCCTACCTCGCGTCCTCTGCCTCACCGAGTCTTTTGGGTACCGGTCGCGTAATAGGCTCGGTACTAGTCTTTCTCGACTTGGAAGATGCTAAGCAGAACCTTCATAGCCGAGCTAAGCCAGTGATGCCTGCAGTCACCACTCTTCACTCCACACCCGGAGTTCGGTCG